ATGCGGTGGCGCTGGCTGCTTGCCGGGTTTTTGTTTTCAGGCTGCTTGTCTGCGCTCGCTGGCTGCTTGCCGGCCTACCTCCGGCTGCTTGCCGGCCCCTTGGGCTGCCTGCCTGCTCCCCCCTCTGGCTGTTTGCTCGATCTCGGGCTATTGACCCCTCCCCGTCCGGCTGCTTGCCGGGTGTTCGGCTGCTTGCCGATGTGTGTATCTGTGCATCAGCATATATAATTTCGTGATTTGTTCGTCTGCTTGTACGTTCGTTTGTCCCCTCACCATTAGTCCTTATGTCTGTCCGTGAAGCGCTTATTGTCTGTTGTGTGTGTCCTTGGCACAGCGTAAATGGTGGGGGTAGTCCTTTTTGTCAACCTTGCTAGCAATGTCCGTGTTGTGTTCGTTATTTGCATTATGCCGCACCCGCTCGTCGGGCTTGCTCCCCGGCTAGTCCGGGTGATTTCTTTTAGATTGGTATCCTGCGTTATCCAGCGTTCTTTTGTTCCCCTTTGGTCGGTAGGTGCATATAGCAGGGTGTTAGCCAGAAAAAAATTTTGTCCGTTAAACGTAAATTGGGAAAGTTTTGACTGAACATTAATATTTTTCGCCGAGCGGGAGGGGGGGGGTAGGTCAAAAAAATTTTCCCGGACATATCAAAATTTTTCCGGGGATATCAAAAATTATTCCGTACTTTTCGCCAAATCCAAAATTTTTTTCACAGCATATCGAAATTTTCCCGAAATTTTTATGTTTTGCCCAATTTCGCATTGATTTTTGCCCGACCGTAAAAATTTGGGGGGGACACGTGCCAATTTTCCAGTAGACCCAGTTGGGAAAGCCCTCAATTGGGAATAGTCCGTCAAACGGACAGTATATGGGCTAGCTAACCACCCTGTATAGTTAGTTGTGCTTGGCTTCGTATGCTTACCAGGTAAGATATCTCGTACGTTCATGTTACTATTCGTTCGGTGTTTTTTATTAATTCCGTCTCCACCTGTGGTGTGACGTTAGAGGAGCCGAAATACAAATTTGAAATAACAAACTGTTTTAAAAATATTTGCGTTATTTTTCCAGTCATTTTTGTTTCAGTTTACTATATGGTACTGTATATGCATCGCGTTTTGGTGAACATCTTTGCAGTGTTCACCTGCACGTCGCTGAATTACTAATATTATTCAATAAGGTGATTTTATCCACTCAGTATAATTCACAATCATATAATTATATACTCATGCACTGCAAAAAATCCCGAGTATGGTGACTGAAAACTTGAGTAAAATAATGCATCCATGCAGAATGACTTAATTTAAAATGTTGCGTAAAATTACACAAATTGAGGAGCAAATGTGCTCAATCCCTTAGTAGTTTCAAATTTACTCAATTTTTAATCATAAAAATGTGCTCAATCCCTTAGTAGTTTCAAATTTACTCAATTTTTTAATCATAACTCACGTAAATAGAAATAAAACCAACCTCTTCAGTCATCTGGGTTAACAACATTCCACCAATATATGACATACCTTGAAAAATAACGTGAATATAAAATAATGCAAACAATTTAACGAAGCTAATATAGGTAACGCCATGAGCTAGTATATGTTAACATTAAACTACAATTTCTGTTGACGCAGATTCGCAGAACGCGTCATTTGGATGCGCGCAGTCCAGACGTTTGGATTATATACTCATTATATACCTGCGGTATGTCGGCGGACTATTGTCCTTAGCAGTTCAACCAAATAATTCACAAAAGAATGCATGCATCAACAGCTGTAAACAATGATAACGCAGGCATACCGCAAGCATTCGGTATGTAACCAGGCTTTAAAAAATCTTAAGGTTCGAATGTTCAACATACACCTACTGTACCTTGGCAGTAGGAAACTTGTGGATTGTATAGGATATAGACAGCTAAAATACGAAACAATGCCGCCCGTCCTTCTTTACCCAAACTTGTACCTTCCATAAACATTTTGTGTGTTGGAAACGTTCGATCTAAAGAAAGTATAATTGTGAAGTTTCAGTAGAGTTCCATGGGAGTTCCGTAAACTGATGTTAAATTAACAAGTCCATAATCATTTAGAGCTACGTACAGGCCACAGGAGTGTTCGGTAGAAAAGACGAAACATTACCCCTGGAAGAGCTCAGGGAATTATTGTGGTAATGGTGATGAAATATTTCAAATCCGACTTGAGGACTGGACTAGATTTTAAATCCGCGCAATTTGATCACGTCCGAGACGAAGCCGAGGACCGGATCAAAATGCGAGGACTTGAAATCTAGTTCAGTCCGAATTGGAGGATTTGACATCACTAAAACACGACATATTACGAACTACAAACCGGACAATGTAATACTGATTTTACAGGCCATTACATTATATGAAACATACACGAATAAATACTACTGTTAAATTATTTGCGAGGTTCAGATTTGACCCCTGGGCACCACAACGAACCACTAGTTTCAAACCAGGTCAGCGCGAGGCAGTGATAGTGGTAATGGAGGTCAAAAGTGAGTCCAGCCATTTTACACAAGACGTTAATCCTTACAATACGTAGTTTACGTACTTTACAATATAAACATGCAAAAATAAATACTCCACTTTTAGTCTATCAAAATTATTTACGAGGTTCAGATTTGACCCATTTTCATGGGCCCATGGTGCTACAGTATATAAAAAATGATACAGTATGTTTGCAAAGCCGTTCAAACACTTATATTTACCTGCATCAAGAAGAGCTTGTCTAAAAGCATTAAGTTGATTGCGTGCAACGTCGTCCAAGTTAGGTCGGTCAATCATAATTGTTTCATCAGCTTCGCATGATCCTACAACAAAAACGAAAGGCAATTGTAAATTCACCAACACAAATCATGGAATATTATCCACGTGATTCCATTCCATTTATTCAGGTATAGGGATGTGCTGGATACTGTTTCGCCTGACACTGGGACACTGGATAGTACAGGATAATATTAGAGTAGTTTCGGGAGCAACCTATGCGACCATCGATCTGCTGATCTGTTTCAAAATCTTCACTGGAAACCCCCAGAAGACGAATCTACCTAAAATCAATCGTTATGCATAAAATTGAAACGCCCACACCACACCCAATGTAAGAGAATCCTTCCAATTAAATAATGAAACGGATATATTTCAAGAAATAGAGAAACTGACGTAACACTTCCATAGCCGAAGAAAGATTTCGGCAAGAGGTGCTATAACAATAATTATTATATGGCTTTTCAAAATTCTCTATTCTGATTGGTTGACAAGCGGTCCGTAAAAACCCATATCCGGACCGTGGTCCGTATTTTCAGAAAAACTGTTTGCTTTTTAATTTTCCAATTGTGTGTCATTAAAATTTACAGATAAAAATTTCAAACAACCAAATTGTTTTTGATTGAGCAGGCATGCCTACCGTGTATTGTTACCCAGTGAAACTGACGATAGCCGATTTAATTCGCGCGAAAAGCATATGCTCACAGACTCAGTTCAGCCACATAATAAACCGATTATTGACCTCGCTTGTTCGGTCTGTACTGTGAAATATCAGACCTCTGTTTTTTGCATGTACCTCGCTCCTTCGTCGCTCGGTCCATACTAAAAAACCTCGGTCTGATATTTCACAGTACAGACCTCAATAAGCGGTTATTTTACAACAAACATCAAGACAAACGTATTTAGCAAAAACATTAAAAACAACAACAACGAGTGGTCAAGAGGTACACGCAGAATTACACTTAATTGACGCGAACCGTCTTCCATGTCCTCGCATCCTCAGTGTCATAACACAAGTTCAGGGCGTTACTGTAATATTGCTTAAGTAAAATTTTAAACGTACTGTACACTGTAGTCAAAGACAAAGAGATGATTTCGTGATATTGTTTCAACCTTGCATTTCGCTGGGTGAGCGTACGTACAGTATGTACTGTACCTGTATGTACCGGGCGACCTACAACAGGGGGCAGTTTACTTCACGAAATTTTTTTCTACATTCCCAGTAATTGTTCCTATTCCACAATTTCTTAACGCACAAAACAGACAAAGGAAACATTTTTCGGTTTCATGGTTCTAAAAAAAGCCCAGTACTATCCGGTAAAACCCGGCAAAATTTGATATCTATATATATAAAACAACTATATTCTACTCACTCTCGCCGTATATGGCGGTACACACCTCGTCGCCGTTGGCTATCAGCTATTATACAACTCGTGTTCGCAGAGTAACTGTTAAATAGCTGAGTCAAAATAGTCAAATTTTGTTGAATTCCACCAAAAAATATTAAAACATACAGTACCTACTAATCTACCGATAATTCTGGCCGTACTTTTCCCATCATATTCTGTTACTCCACAGTCCACTAATATTTTACGAACTTCCGACAACTTCTCCTGTAAAATAAACACAGCAAGAAGAGCTTAGACGGAAGGGATTGGTGGAGTTTTGAAAAGAACAAATTGGAATAGACATCGAATATCCACAACATTTGGCTTATTATTTCATTTTCAACTGTATCGAAAATTCATAATTTATATTGGTAAGCAAACTCTGGCAGATAGATAGATAGATTATTTAATAAGTTACCTTGCAGTTTTAAACTGAATGGCACAACTTTTACAAGAAATTTACATGCAACTTAACTACTTTACTAACTAAAATTTCTTTAAGAGTCAAAGTCTTATTTTAAAAGTTATAAAATCTATATTGTTAGAGATTTTAATAATAATCTACACTAATCATAAAGTGTGTTGGTACTACCACGCATAATAAATGAGTCCGAGAATCTTGTTCTTACTAGTGGTAGTGAAAATTTCCTATTTTTCCTAAGATTGTATTTAGGATTTTTGTTAGCACTTGGAATCAGGTGATGGATTTTATTTTTTGGGTTCTCGGATATGGACTGGAACAGTTTCTTTGTAATTGTGCTGTGGTGGTCTTTAAAGCAAGTTTATACATGCCCATAGCATTATAAACTTAAGTTAATGAAACAAGCGTTAGGACAAGAGTAAAGTTGTGCAAAGTCTCCTGGAGTACAAAGGTCTGGTACAAAGGTCAATCTGTCAATCATGTGATCATACACGTGCAAAGCGCAAGGCTGAATTAACAACAAACCATTGTCAAATCTCTTCCCATGCATGTGCGGGAAAATAGACCAATCAGGTTTCACCTCTTCGTCTGAATAGTTTCCTGCTTGGATCAGTAAGCCTCATTGTGTCACTTGCAAGCAAAATTGTATGACCTCTGCGGCAAAGTACTTCGAAATTACCACCCATCCCACCCTTCAAGGATTTTGCACCACTATATCATAACCCGTATCACATAATAAATAAGAATCTGTAAATATTGTTTTGATATGCAATCCGGCATCAAGATTCACATGAAATGCAATTCATGTAGTGTTATAGATAAAGTATTATGGAGTAGTTACTGGTTACTATGTTATTACAGGCACATATATATATGTTGTAATATACAGTATTGGAATTGACTTTGCAAGTCTGGTTGTAAAAATAAAAATATTTGGTTGTTTGGGGATGGAGTGCTCCCAAAGGTCACCCTCAACCCCATAGACTCACACAAATCAATGTATTATACAGTGTATTGTATAGTAAACAATGACCATCACGGGGATCTACTACCCCTTGGACATTAAAGTAAACAATGACCATCACGGGGATCTACTACCCCTTGGACATTAAAGTAAGCAATGACCATCACGGGGATCTACTACCCCTTGGACATTTAGGATGCCTATCTCGGGGATCTACTACCCCTTGGGTAAAGTCCAACATGGGGGAACTACGACCCCCTGAGGACATATAATTATATCATAATCATATTGCTGTAATAGTGAGTCTGTGGGGCGACACTTTGGCCACAGTTTAAAGTATAATCGGAGCATTTCTCCTCGACAACCCTTCTCCCACAACATTGTGTGTGTCATAGTTGTTTTCTTAATTGTCTTAGAATATTTGCTTAACGAATTGGTGCATTAATAGGGGGTATTTCCGCCAATACCAAAGCATCAGAATAAGGTATTCCTGGGAAAATGCACGCTAAAGCTCTCTTTTGGACCTTTTCCAGGTCGTCATGTAGGTAACTTGGTAGAGAGCTATGGTATACTGGGCATGCATAGTCCAAAGAAGATCTAACGCATGCACAATAATATGTAACCAAATCGTTTGATGGTATTTGCGTACGCTTAAGTTGTTTTAAAAAAATACAGCTTCCGAGAAGTCTTCTTCACTAGTTCCTCAATATGATCGTTCCATGTCAGTTTATC